GAAACATCTGCAAGGTGTAATCTCTAATTATAAGCACGGATCCAGGAGCTGTATCTGTGAGTGTGCGTCACGCTGTGTGAAGACAAGCTGTGAGTTTTAACATCTGTGAGGCTGCGGGCGACAAAACACCTCGTCACATGCTGCTCCCCGAGCTCAGGCGTGATCAGACTGACAGCGCCTTTAAAACCCAACCTCGTCTTCCCGAGTCGCAGCGAAACGATAAGCGCTGAAGTAAGAACGCCGTCTGCTGCTGTGGGAGCACGAAGAAACCGTGATATCGATGAAAGAAAACCACCTGCTCATCTCTTACATTATCGATGACCCGAGATGGTACAAAAGCCAACGTTTTCTAAATGTGCATTCCTTTTAAAGGCCACCAGGGGGCGACACCTGAAAGAAAGACTTCCTGTCCTTTAGAGGTCTACGAGGAAATAGCTCATGGACCTCATTACTGGTTTCCACACACCAACACAGTGATGGTGTAAATCAGGAGTGTCAAACATGAGGCCCGTGGGCCAGAATCTGCCCGATGATGACTCCAATCCGGCCCACTTTAAGTTTTCCAGTCTTCCCTCCACGCCACACCAAACTACAGGATATGCTCTGTGAATTAATGAAAACTTTACATTGTAAATGTGTAATTACAGGACAGTCTGAGCGATGAGCTACCAGAACCTTCTCTGCAACTTTCCTACATGTTGAAGCCCACTACACATCACATTTTTCCTTTTAGGACACTGCAGACTCTTGATTCTGGCCCTCAGGCCGCATTTTGCTCCTGTGTGTGGTCAATTCTGCACAAAAAGGTGGCGAAAAAGCCGAAGGAAAACCTGGAAGTGCTGCTGAAGGATACTGGAGGCACGCGGTCGTGTTTTGATTTGAACTTGAGCAAAGTTGGGGGTGAAATCTTTACGGCTTCAAAAAGGCTTCATGCAGTAACAGATCTCATTAGCAGAGGACTCACTGAGGGCGAAACATCAAAGCAGGGCAAAGTGCTGACGTCGAGCTGAACGCCGACTTCACCAGCTGCAGAACAACTCATGAATAACTCGGCCTCTTCCTACCAGCTCCTTACTGGAGAACT